TGTTAAAGATATAGACCCAGTGTCATTAAACAACAGCTACATTCCGCATACAGCATGTCCTGCCATCATGTTACTGACTGTTGAACTGAGTCTTATATTGATGTCAGGAATAAAACTGTAAAAAACTCAGGTTGAATGCAGCACGAAACATTTTGCCAAAATAACAAGCAAGCAGCTGCTGGCTTCAAAATAAAATCATCTTCTCATTTCTAATTTTGTATATTCTACCATTTCACTTGAATTGTGTTGGTACTGTATTTATTCCTCCTCACGTTTTTGCAGAATGTAAAATGAATGTTGCAGCACATTCAGTTCAATGTTTTTGTTATTGCTATTAAAATCCCTGCTGTGTTTTATATCTAACATAGCTGTAGCATCAAAGGATGAATGATAAAGAGCACTCGGGTGACGTCTCTGGCCTCCATTAAAGGTTCAGTGTGTAGAATTTAATGACATCTAGAGGTGAAGTTTCATGTTGCAGCTGAATGCTCTTCATCTCACCCTCTCCTTCCCAACATGAAAGAGAACCTGTGGTGAACTTCAGTTGTCATTAAAATGCAAAAAGTTTTAGTTTGTCCAGTTTGGACGACAGTAAAAAACATGGCGGCCTCCACAGAGAGGACCCCCGTCCATGTAAATATATCATTTTTTTCATTCTGTGGTAAAGAAAACAACAATTCATACAATTTAAATGAAACACCAGTGAAAACATCACTAGGATTATTTTATATTCAATTTCTGCCAAAAATCCCTTTCACCTAAATCTTACACACTGGACCTTTAAGACCAGAGTCTCAAAACTACAAATTAGTATCAGGACTGTCAGCTAATTTGTATTAAGCATATCAGGTAGATTTATTTAACTTCACAGCAGAAAAATCATCTTTCACAGGTCTGAAATATGGTAATTCATCATAGCGATTATTTTCCATTTTCATTTTTTTATTGATTACATCATCGTGGTATATGAAGCTGCAGCTTGAGATGTCTCATGGGGAATTATGGCTAAAATGAAATCAAACCAATCAAAATAGAATAACAAATGACAACAACTTGTGGTGCATGAATTGTTATGAATTGTCCAAAACACGTACCAGCCTGGATTTCTTGGAGGTTTTTTGGAGGCTGTAAACTGAATAAATGATTTGTTTTTCGAATTCTTTTTTTTGTAACTTCATACCCTTGTAAGAATGGATGATCAGGGGAACTGACTGTGGAACAGTGATTAATTTTTGATGGAAAAATGAACTATCATAGGAAATGAATAAATGTGTTTACTCAAAACAGGACAATAAATGTGGGTTAATTCTGAAAGAAAATGTCTCTTGATGAAATTATTATTTTTTATTACTTAATGCTTTGATGCAGGATTACACTGGAACAGGGGCAACGGTGTATATGTGTGGGGCATTTTCTCCGTTCTATTGAAGAGTGAAACTGAATTTAATCATTTACACATTCAGTATACTCCTGTGACATATCAAAATATCTTCCGTGAGAATTCACGCCTCCGTTGTTCACCAACATATGCTGTCGTGTCTGTACCATAGACTGGTCAGTACATTGAAGGTGCGTTCAGTTGCAATCAGGAGATCTCCAGTTGGATGTTTGGAATCAGCCGCCTCACATTTATGTACTGTGGTTCATTTGACCCTCTACAATTAAAATTATTTTTTTGCCAAGATATTAAAATCGAAGTGTAACTCATTGGGATTTGACTTGAATTGTCAACTATCATGGACAAAGTAGAGTTGTGAAATCAGTCTCCATCTGATTATTTACAGCTCATAGGAAGAACTAAATTAAACACCTTTTATTAGAATTCTTTTGTTTTTTTTCCATGTATTTTGTGAAGCACTTTGTAACCTTGTTAAGGTCAGTGCTATACAAAGTTATTATTTTTATCTTAACTGAACAATGACGTCTCGTGGGCACCTGTGATGAAGGTTGGTGATGGAGTCTAACTTGAATATTCTGGTATAATAAATGATATGATGCACATATTATATTATAGCTCATGAACCATGACAGCTTTCTTCCACCATCTCACGGTGGCAGTAGAACTCCGGCGCCCCAGCCGAACCCTGGTGACGTCAGCCGTACGTAAAGACCCAGCCTCGCGGCCTGAGCGTTCTTTCGCCTCTCTCGCGCTGCTCGGTCGACAGGTCTGCTCTGTGTCTCCGGACGACTCAACACCGACTCGGCAAAAATGATCATCTACAAGGACATCATCTCCGGTAAGTCCCGGCTTCCATCCACTCTCTCCCGGCGACCCGGCAGCATCTCAGCCGCGGCGGTTATTTATCCCGTTATTGTTACTGGAAACAGGCAGAGTCGGCTATGCTAACTAGCCAGCTAGCTGACGCGTGTTATCATGATGCTAGGGCTAGCCAGATGTAGCCTCCACCTCCCCCTCCCCCCACATAGAAAAGCCTAGAAACTGCGGTGTACAATAATGGCGGACGAGTGTGTGGAGTGTTAGCCACTTTGTTTAGCCAGCTATGGAGGCCGGGCGGAGCTGCAGCCCAGGCCGCGGCTCAGCCACCGCCAAGTTGGCTAAAAGTAGGAAAGTGTGATTCCCCTGCCTCGGGTCATAACGGAAGGCCCCGGCCGGGGCGATGTGGTCCAAGAAAGAAGTGCAGCGTCAGTCCTGTTGGGGGATCGGGGTGAATGTGGCCCCTCGGCCTCATGTGGCCGCACTTTAGCTAACAGCGAGATTCATTCGAGAGTTGGCGCGGCCGTCGTTACTTCGGAAATGTGTGGACGCTCCCTCGGTCCTTGTGTCACCAACATTTAAAAAAAGATCTCCTGCGGTATTCTTTTACTGTGGATGTGGCTGAGAGGGGGAAACGTCCTGATTGGTCACAAGTGTCACAACAGTGTCTAACAGTGTTTCTTCCGCCAGGCGACGAGATGTTCTCTGATGCCTTTTGCGTCAAAGAAGTCGAAGGCGGGTTCCTGTACGAAGTTGAAGGAAAGGTGAGTCACCGGTATCACACAGTCGTTTCTCAAGTACATGTTAAGAAAAGACACATGCACTCACTCCTGACCCTTTTACAGCGACATGTGACGAGCTAAAACACGAGATCCGCTCGCTTCAAAGATATTTTTAGATGTTTTGATCAACTTACTAAACATTTGCATTTCCCATTTAAATTGGTGTTGTGAAGTTGTGCAAACTATGGAAATGATGAATCAATATTGTTGCAGCCTTGGTACTTAGCCAGATGTCTCAGGGTTTCTCTTCCACACTGTGAAATTTAAGTCTTGTTTTTTATAGCTGCTTTCAGACATACATTAAAACCTAGATACTCTGCAGAGTTTCTTTCTCTCTCACAGGGTGTGTGTGTGAACGCAAATGAGGTGACCACTAAGAGCTACTACTATATTTAGACCAAAAACGTGAAAGACTGAATATTGCAGTGTATTATTGAAGAAGCTAGGATTGTGGATGGAATCCTGGACAATCCCTGGTTTGTCGAGCTCTGGCACAAACATGTCTTCTCATCAACCCTCATTCTCACTTTTTTGTAGGCTCAGATCAATATGCGAGTACAGTTCTTCTTGACAGAGATATGAATCTGTTCTTAACTAATAAGACCTGTTGAATTGAAATAAATAAGTCTTTTGGATGAGAGATGAAACACCACTTAAAGTATCAGTGTGTAGAATTTACTGACATCTAGTGGTGAAGTTGCATGTTGCAGCTGAACACACCTGACATCACCCTCCCCTTCCAAACATGTAAGAGAACCTGTGGTAACCTTCAGTTGTCATAAAAACTCAAAAGGATGTTAGTTTGTCCAGTCCAAACTTCTGTAAAAAATATGGTGGCCTCTGTTGAGAGAACCTAATCCCGAAGTAAATATAAAGTATTTAAATACTCAGGGCCCATTTCAGGATAAAGAATACAACAATGTGTACAATTGGATGAAACACACTAGTGAAAATATGAGTTGGCTTATTTTATATTGAAGTTCTGCCAATAGATCCATTTTACATAAATGTTACAAACTGAACCTTTGATTACGTAATGTAGCTTCTAATGGGCTTAAGTTTGACACACACTGACTCTGAGGACACACTGTGGTGACCGGATGCATCTGGTGCATCTATAAACGAGAGATGGAGATGACTGGGTGTTAGTGGTTTGACTTAAAGGTCCAGTTTGTAAGATTTAGGTTAGTGTTTATTTATCTTAATTGTACAAATTGTTGTTTTCTTAACCCTAGAATGAGCCCATTATATTTAAATATTTTAAATGCCATGTTGGTGTTTTTTTTACAGTTTTCAAAACTGGATAAACTAAACACCCTCTGATTTTTTTTTTTTATATGACAACGGTGTAGTGTCATTTTGGTGAGGGCTCACTGTTGGAGTCTGGACAGGCTGAAACTGAGATGGTTGGAAACTATGACAAGACGCTAACAACTGCTTGCTGATTGGGTCACAACTTGGCCTTCGCTGATCTTTCAGGCTCCTTTCACACAAGAAAGCAACCAACCTTGGCCAATAGTCTAGAATGCAACATGGACAATAAATTACAAGCCTTGCTGATCCAGTTGTCTTTGCGGACACCTGTTGTGCAGTTTAATTCTGCATTATACAATTATAGAACCACTTGCATATCTATGGTTAGCAATCTGCAACAATTTCTATGTCCAAGTAAGGAGATAGCGGGCGTGTCCAGTGTATGTGAGTGGTCACCTGATATGTGTTAGGCTTGTCAATATGGACTGGCATCACACCTGATGCAAAGCCAAAGCATAAACCATTGATAAAAACGTTTTTGATGACCCACATTGTCCATTCCCATATACAGTGCACATATAAAATCCAGACCTACTTTGCTTGGATAACATTTATTTTCATTGGATTGAGTGAAGGTATCCTCACCTATCCTCATCAATAAATGTGCCCCATCTCATTTCGGTTGTCTCTGCTCCCCCACAGAGTGTCTGCAGGACAGATCAAATCGATGATACTCTCTTTGGGGCCAACCCTTCTGCAGAAGAGATTCAGGACACCAATGACGCCTCAACTGCCAGCGGTGTGGACATCACCCTCAACCACAAACTGCAATCGACGTCTTTTGATAGGAAGCAGTACCTGGCCCACATTAAGGAATATATGAAAGAGTAAGTATAAGTGTCTCCTAACGTCACTTGCTAACTTCTGTCTTCCTGTGTAAGTATGTTGCGTCATACTCAGAAAACAAAACACTACACCAAGAAGACGACAATATCCAGTATTTCCTCAAACTTGTTTAGCCGTGAGGGCAGGCTGATAATACCCATATCAGGGTTGCTTTTCCTTGGTGGTTCTTTGGTCTTATCACTCACATGTAGAGCTGAACTTTGTAATAATTAGTATTTGGATCAGTGGGTTGCGTGGAAATAATGCTTTTTTCCCCCATTGTCTGTATGGACCACTTACTGTAGGACTGGGCAATAAAACGATAAAGGTAATTGTTGTGATATGTTTTGACAGACAACACAAATAACTAATGAGGAGTATAGCGCCGCTCTGAAACCAATCATGTGGCTGAGATAGAGTTAGAGCCACATCATGTTAGGTTGACGCACACAGCAGAATGTAGGAGCAGCAGCACACATGCTGATATTTGGGCTCCTGTATAGAGGTGTGGAAACTTCTGATTCTTAAATGCATCACTATGCGGATGTGGACGATTCATGTTTTCCGCTGAGTTCATAGTTTTAGAAATGTTTACATCACAAAATAATTATAACCACGACTGCTTCAGAATCAAGACAGACTGCTGATTTATTTTAAATGGTGATGTATATCAATAGCGACTGATATGAAAACAATTGCCATGGGGGGGGGTCTATGTTAGCAGTTAAACTAAAGCAGAAAGATGCAGCATAAGCAAGTCATATTGCCATCTGAATTTTCAACGTTATCGCATCTTTTCCTAATAACAACATTGTGAGAGTTCTTCCGGATTAATGATAATAACGGCTTGAATTTATATACTGGACCCAAGGAGTCTTTACATGAAGACAGAAGAGAAAAGAAAAAAAATTAGAAAACAAAAAGATTATCAGTTCTTTCTAACGTTCTGAATTGTAAGTATTATGAGACGAGTTCAGCATATCATGAATATGATGAGTTGGGTGCATTCAATTCTGTTTTTTTCTTACAGGATCAAGAGCAGGCTGGAAAAGGAAAGACCAGAAAGAGTGGAGGAATTCACAAAAGGCATGCCAAGTGTGATTGGGAAGATTAGTAAAAACATTAAGAACTACGAGGTAAATATACAGACCTTATTTTTACAAAAAGAGGTTGCAAGTAATTCCACTTAAGTTATGTTTTTGAAGAGTAGTTCACAAAGCATTTCAAGTTGAACAATGCACCTAAAAGACATGCTGCTGTTTTCAATTTAATCAGACTTAAGTTAAAATCAACTTTAAAGTGACATACTACATATGAACCATTTCATTAGTCGTATTGAGTAAAATATGTTCTTATACTTGTATTTGTAGTAAAAACCCTGTATAATTCTTCTTCATTGATGCAGACAGGTTATGTGGTTGTTGCATAACATAAAGCTCACTCATGAAATTCAATGCGTGTTGATGTTGCACTTGCAGAGCTGATGCTTTCAAGATAATTTCTTAAGAAACCTGTTTTGTAAGTGCATTAATAATGGTAATGAGTTACCTTTAGAAAATGGCCCCTTGTCAACACAAGAATAACAGTTTTAAAAATGCGCAAATGCGTCAATTATAAACCAGCCCGTCATAGTCTTAGTTATCGTCTTAATACCCCCATTGATTGTTGATAATTGAGTCTATTTGGTTTTCTGCCATTATCTTGTGACAAACTGTGTTTTTCCCCTTGCAGTTTTATACTGGAGAGTCCATGAACCCAGAAGGAATGGTGGCCCTGCTGGATTACCGCGAGGATGGCATTACACCATTCATGCTTTTCTTCAAAGATGGTCTGGAGATTGAGAAATGTGTAAGTAGTCTGCCAAGTCTCCAGAAACTCTCACTTAATATCATGAAGTATTTTTGATGCTACTGGAAAAGAAACGATTCAAAACAGGTTCAAAGTTTTAAATTGGACTAAACATATTTACGTCTTTGATTCAATAGATTAAGTAAATAGATGCTAGGTGTGTAGTAAGTAGTTTAAATATTCAGAATAGAATAACTACCATCACTGAATGTGTGTTAGTTTTATTTTCTCTATAAAAAATAAGACTATTTTTATTTGAATTTATAGCCAAAAACTGAATGTTTGTCAGTGATAGTTGAACCCTGAACAGTGTTTGTACTTGATCACCCTGTTAATTTTTCTAAAAGCCACATGGCTTTACAAATTCTCACCCCACTTTTCTCATTTCGATTAATCTACAATATAATTCTTAATTGTCCCATAAATGTTTGGGTGGGTGATTTTAATGTAATTAGGAGTTGCACAGTTTGTAGTGTTCTTGCTCTGCACTGGACAATCTAGTTTTTACAACAGAACCAACAATACTACAACCAGAGCTTGAAATGGTTTTCTCTTTGTTTAACTTCACAGTTGGTGGATTAATGATTGTAAGAAGTAGCTTTGTAGATGTTGTTGGTTGATGTGTAATCTTTTTATTTATTTTTTTTTTTTTTTGCAGTAAATGACCTGGATCTACATTTCAATTGGCTGCTGCTTCCTAAATGGCCCCAAGAGCAGACCGAAGATCACTATTTTGCATCATGCCTAAACAGAAACATTCTTACACAATTCCTATATATATTTGCATTATAGTCCACAGTACCACTCCCACGACAAGGTGATTCAAACAGACATCTGATTTTAATAACTTCTTTTTGGCTTTTGCAGTGTCTATTTGTCCCACGTTTTGCAATTTGAAAATAAAAGGCAGGACGTTGAGCAAAGCTCCGATGAACTGAAAGATGCATTTTTTTCTTCCTATGCATACTGTTTTAGCAATGATCCATACAGATTGACCTAACCGGACCTCTCTGTTTATGGTTGCATCAAATTAAATTCCATCTACAATGAAGACATGATAGGAAAATACAAACAAGTACCACCAACTTTTCTGTTTTTGTGGTTTTTGAGTGAGCTTTCACCTCCCTACACCAGGACAGCCAAAGGTTCATGTTCGTCTAAGCAGTGGGAATGGTTCCTTCAAAGGAGCCCCAGCAGATCATTGGAATTTAAAAAAGAAGAAATGTTTCTAATTTCTCCATGCTGAGTTCATGTCACAAATTAAGTTTAACCAATTCAACTTAGTTATTAACTTAATCTACTTCTAAAGCAATGTAATTCAGTTTATAATAAGTCAATTGGTTGCTGTCTGAATGCTAAACACTTAGCACTGAGGTGATGGGTGACTGCTTTGCATCACATGTTCCCAGTGCTGCAAAAACGTGTATATCAGTGACATGTTTAAATATGCAAACGTTGTCTATATATGCACATAGTGTGTCCTTTAGATGTACACAAAACAATTAAGAGAACACTTGAATCATATATCAGATCTTGATGGATGTATTCAATTTGAAAATCTACTGATGTACATTCTATAATTTTTTCAACAAACTGGTGTCACGATGGTCAATGGAAACCAAAATCATCAACCCATTGAGGACTGGATTCAAAACCATATCGACAAAGTAAAACATTTAAATCACAGGTTGATCCAACTTGCATGAATTTGCCAACTCTTAATGTGTCTCGGTTGTATGTGTGACTGCTGCGTGTCTTTACGTACTCCCTACAATGTTGTGTCTAACAGCAGTCCAGAAACTGTTGGCTAAGACATGGATATGTCTCCTCAGACCATCACTGACCCACCACTAAATCGGTCACACATAGTTCACCAGTCTCCTTCACGCCTGTCACGTGTTCCCAGAGTGAACCTCTCTCTCTCTCATATGTGAAGAGAACGGGCTGGTGTTCTCTGGCAAATATCAATTGGACTGTGCTGTGCTGTGAGCACATGTCCCACTAGGGGACGCTGTGCCCTCATGCCACCTTCATGGAGTCTTTTTCTGACAGTTTGGTATTAAAACATGCACACTGCTGGGGGTCGTATTGTAGGGCTCTGGCAGTACTCCGCCTGTTCCTCCTCGCACAAAGGTGCAGATACCTGTTCTGCGGCTGGGCTGATGCCCTTCTACCACCCTGTCCGGCTGTCCTCCTGTGATGACCAGTCTCCTTTTATCTCCTCCATGCTCTTGAGGCTGTGCTGGGAGACACAGCAAACCTTCCTGCGACCGCACGTATGGACGTCACAAGCAGAACACCAAACTGGAGAAGAATGTCAGGAAGCATAAAGAGAACTGTGGCCACAACATTCAAAACCATTTCCTGTTGGAGGTTGTCTTGCTTTTGAAAAATTCAATCACAGTCACTTGTGTGTCCTAAATGACAACATTGATATCCCCAAAGTTTAACTTTGTGTTATACTTAGATGAATAAGTGAATTTTTGAACAATTTATTTCCAATGCATATATGCTGGGCTTGGAATAGGATCCTGTTGTGTGACCATTGACAGATTTGAAAACCAATAGCACAGGTCGTGACCCTACCACCTTGCCAAAATAGATCCAAATTATATTGAAACTGCTTACAGATGGACAGACCTCACAGAGTAAAGTACTTCTTTTTTTAATGTATTTGTAACTGTAATAATCCATCATCTTGGCAAGTATCATGAGTCAAGTAAGGTCACAAAATGATCACAAGAGGGCGCCATTTGCTTGTACATAAAGGCGCTGTAGAAACTGAGGAAAGCTGGCCTAGCTGTCAGAAGGATCAAGTGAAATCAGGAGGTGAGATTTTCCTCAGTATCGACGAGAACATTGTTGTAGGTCAAAAAAGCAAAGTTGAATAAATAATAATAATTATTAGTTGTAGTAATGTCAGTGACTGTGCTTTGTTTCACTTCACAACCGGCCCAGTAATTTGCCTCAGTCATTAGGAGCACGTGACGTCTCTGTAGCACAGCAGATGTTCAGTGCCACCAACAAACAGCCTGATGTCCTCACAGATCAGCACCTGAGCTGTAATGTGAGCAGGTATCCATTATTGATTTACGCTCCTGATATGTGACTTCACCTGCGTGAGTGTGAAAGACAATGAGCCACATTTGGTCAATATTTCACTCCCTCGGACATCCAACGCTCTGAATGTAGTTTATATCAGTGTTGGTGTTTATCTGAGTGTGACTTTAATCTGATGCTCTACATTTGAGCTGTATATATTCATTAATTATTGGTTAAGGACAGGTACACTTTACATAGAGAAATTGAAAATAGCTGTCTGATGCAAGTAATAGTGATAATAGCTTGTAGAGCACTTTTCAGTGTCACACAACAAGAAAACAAACGGTTAAAATATAGAGGTGAATCAGTAAAAATGTCAATGTTGCTAAGGGACAAAAGACTAGTACAAATCCTGGCACCCTAAGTAATTTCAGGAAAAAGCCTCCTTGTGTTATTAACAAAGACTCAGACTTCAGAATCAGAATCATCTGTGTCTTTGATAATAACACGAGGAGGCGTATTTCTGAAATTACTTAGGATGGCAGGATTATTATTATCCAAAGGTTATTCATTCCAGAGCCTTTGGGCCCTGATGGCAAACTCTCTGTCCCCCCTATAGTTTTCACCCTTAGATACAAGCACTGAGAGCAAACCCTTGCCCAAAGATGGTAATAAATAGGGAGTTAAAAGATCAGAGATAGAGCCTGAGGCCAGGCCATGCAGAAAAATCTTCAATAACATTTTAAAATCAATCCTAGGACAAACACAGAGTCAATAATTCATAGTGTTTCTCACAGATGCTAGAAGGGCGTTTTTGAAAATATTGGGTTTAAAGAAAGAGGGATGAAATATAGAGAAAGATAAAACAGAGGTGTCATGTATCATATAGAACAAAGCACGCCCAAAAAATCATTACAGATGAGATGCGGGTGGCATTTATTTTGCAGTACAGTGGCTCTTTTGTTTTACGGTTTGAAACTTTACCATCGTCACCTGAAGCTGCTCTGGCTGATCTCCTGCAGCTCTGCAGTCTCTGCATGTGTTTACAGAGAGGCAGAGGAGCAAGGCTGATCAAATATTAAATAGAGACCTCGCATAATGAAAGATAGCAACATTTATCATCTGGTTCCTTATTTGCTCTCTATCCAAGACATTTAAAGCCTGGTTGGAAAGACTCTCTGGGTTTGGTTACAGACTGACCTGAGACCAGGAGACTAAACCATATATGTGAAAAAATGATTGAGTATTGAATAATTGAGTTACTGGGTGTTTGATGGTGATCTGACATATTCAAATAGGCTTACGAGGGATGTTTCCTCTAAAATCTCTGAGTTGTACTGTGTCTTCACATAGTGAGATGCAGTGTATAGTGTTTTAAAAATGTGTGACTATACGTCTCTCATACTTCTCTTATAGTCTTGATCGTATTGTTTTCACTTCATCTTTTACAAAATCTGAAGTTACACAGTGATTATTACTTTACTCCTTCAACTTTTTTTTTAAATTTTTTATAAAGAAGTTGTCCTTTTTTATTTCTCTAACCTCTTTTAATCTTTTTTCCTCTTTTATTTTTCTCTTTTACTTTGCTTGAAAAATCGTTTTAAACTGTGCGTTTTGATTTTAAATGTCTTTTATTGTTATTAATATCTCTCTCCGGCACATTCAATCTTCCTCTTTTTGCAAAAAGTGCTCTTTAAATAAAACTGCCTTTCTCCACCTGCTAACAATATCCAGGAGCCATTTGACATTTTATATTGAATCTCTCTAAATCACCTCTTAAATCTCCCTGTCCGCATGTGTCAAACACGGCCGCCGCGTCAGTCGCCACGTGGATCTTGTGAGAAACTAGAGCGATATTGCTAAACCTTAAGTTTGATGTTGTACGTACACATGAAATGAGGTCTGTTCATAAAAACCAACACACCAGTTTGTGTTTCTTGTTATATATTTTGTGAAAGCGACAAAAGCGCAACACAGTAAAGAGTAGAGTGACAAGGATGGAAGCTGGAAAGAAAAAGGGAGAATGAGACGTCTGTAGTTGAAGCACCAACTTGTTTCTCTCTCTCTCTCTCTCTCTCTCTCTGTTTCCACTGTTCTGTCTGTGTCTCCCCTGCTCAGGGGAGGAAAAGAGGAAGGTTAAAGGATGGTTTATGGGGGGTGTTGACCCAGTTACCTGCAGTGACTACACATCTGGCACGCTCACCTTGGCTGACCATCCTTCATCCTGTACTTCAAATACCTCTGCCACCATCACCATTCATCCGCCTGCGAACACTTTCCATCTGTCTGAAATGTGTGTGGATGAATGTTGTGCCCGGAGACGTTTCCTTTCCACTGAATTCACATATGAGAACATTCACTCTGAGGTGAATCAGTGCATTTTTGAGGCGTGTGTTGGAGTGAAGTTTCCATTGTAGGCAGTTCTCAGTCACATATGTGTATCTGGACACAAAACATTAGAAATGTTAGCATGCAGCTTGAATAGAAGTCAAATGAGCTTCTACGCGATCCTCATCTGAACTGGATTAATATTGGATTGGTGGTTAATACGGATATTTACTCAGGAAACCATGAGCCCCTCATCACCAACAGATGTCATGCCAGTCATTTCCAGATAAGATCTCATCGACTCGTCCTCTGTTGAAAAGCCAACAACATTAAAAAAAAAAGTCAAACCAGATTCGTGCAAACACTGAGTTTATTAGGCAGAAAAAAAAGACAGAGCTTATGAATGATTGTGATTGTATTCTGAAATAAGCTGTGTAAGATATTTTGATGTAATTTACATTTACTGTATTTTGTTGATCGTTGTATCTATACAAAACTGGCACAATGAACACCACTTCTTTTTTATTTAAAGAGTAACTGTGTTAGTGTTTGCATCTGTTCATCGTAAATGTGTGACAACAGACACATGAACCATAGAGAGGAGAGAGAAAAGTTCTGTCCTCCCACACTAAACTTAGACACCGTAGAATAAGATCCTACTTGGAATAACCAACAATCAAATGAAGAGATGTGTCTCATTATGTTGACATGTACA